GACAAAACTGAGGCTGGGAGGGTGGGAGTCAAGGTCTGGGTTCCCACAGAGCCTGGTTCTGGTTCTGGTTCTGGTAGCTTCCTCCCTCCCGTCCCGAGAGGGAGGCCTTGCCTCTGCAGTTCACTTGGGTTTGTCTAGTGTTTTCTGGCGACTCGGCAGCTGGCACACTCACATTGGGCCTTACACAGGCGCGTGTACATGCACACACACACACACTCATACTTCCCCAGACTCAGCCGCCCCCCCTAGCTTGACCTGACTGTGTCTGGCACATAGTAGGTGCTTAGCAAACCTTTATGAGGTGCACGGGCACCTCGGGGCCTGGGACATGACTAATCTGAAGCCGGGACGCAGAGGACTTGTGATCACTCGCATCCCCAGGCCTGGTGGGGTGCCGGCACACAGTAGGCGCTCCACGGGTACCCCACGGTCTCCGGCAGGGAGACGTCTCCATAGATGGAAGCTGGCAGGGCCAGGGCAGTTACCGCCCCCCACTGAGAGGGGGAGGCCAGTGGTCCTTGGTACCCTCCATCTCGCAGACCTGAAGGGTTCCCCCCGAGACTCGGGAATCCACAGGGGTGAACAGCAGTAGGCTAGAGACCTGCTCTCTGTCAAAGTCCCTCTAGGCTTCGGCGGGGCTGAAACTCGAGCTGTCCACTGGCCTCCCCAGGAACTGGGGTGGGGGGCGTCCTCTTCGCAGCAGCCTCCCCCCACCAGTTCCCAAAGGAGCTAAGCAGCTGTTCCTGGAGGAACCAGGCTCTTCCTCCTGGGCTGGGGTACACCAGCACCATCCAGCCATGCTGCCTGGGGCTCAGGGATGGGACATTCTCATGTGGATCCCGGGATCTCAGCAGGGCTTGGGGATGGGGGAGAGACCATACACCAGAGAGCCCAGCCATGAGACATGAGTTCAAATCCTGACGCGGCCCGAACCCAATCACCCAGGACAGGCTCCTCAACCTCGGCATTCTCGTCTGAACAATGGAGAGGATAAGAGCATTTTCACAGGATGGTAGGAAAGCAGAAATGTGAGAACATTCGTAACGTGCTGAGCACCATGCCTGGTGTGGAATACCAGAGCCACCTTGTGTTAAGCACTTTCTAGAAGCCAAACAGGTCTCAAGCATTAGCTCATTAAATCCTTCCATCAAGCCAAGGCATTGGATACCATCATTATGCCCATTTTCCAGAGCAGACAACTGAGACTTGGCAAGGTGAGCCCACGACCCAAGGTCACACAACTAGGAAATGGTGAGCAGGAGTGTGAGCCCAGGGCTGCTTGTCTCTGAAGCCTTGAACCCCAACCTTTACTAGAGCGTGTGCTCATTTAAGACCTGGAATTAACCCTCAAAGCTGATTGGCCATCCCATTTTACAGCAGATAAAACCGAGACCCAGAGATGAGAAGAGAGCAATGCGGTCACAGGACTGCTGCTGGAACGGGGTTTCCAGCCCCCACAGTCACTGTTCCCATTAACCTCGCACTTCCTATGTGCCAGGTATGAAGCCCTCCATGTGTATCATTGCATGTCAACTTTATAATAACCCTAGGTGGAAAGATGCTTGTATCAACCCCATTCTTTTTTTGGGTAAACTGAGGCAGGGAGGGGCAGTAGTTTACTCAAGGTCACGCAGCTAATTAACAGGAGAGGCAGGACTCATACCCAGCGAGCCAAACTCTAGAGGCCTCCTCCAGGGACCCCTGCAGCACGGCCTGCCCACAGAGCCCAAGCCAGCCTTGCCCAGCAACTTGGGCCCCAGGCAGAATTACCTGCCAGGAGAATGGGGTCTGTAAGGCCCCCAGGGCACGGCCACCCCCAGGCAAGGCAGGGTGTAGCAGGAGCCCCCAGCTGGGAGAGCATGGCGTGAGCTACACTACCCAGGGAGATGGGCACGGGGCTGGCAAGCCCAGTCTGCCTGAAAACCATTAGCCCCCTGCCTCTGCGAAGAGAAGTTTTTCCAACAAAATGCAGGCGAGCAAAGAACACGTTCTGCTTTATGTGTCTCTTGTTGTAGGCAGTGCACATCTTGGGAGCTGTGTGGATGAAAGGCGCCATATAAAATGCAATCAATTATGAATCACCATTACTGAATTAATCACATGTATGATTAATACAGTAATAATAATTAATGGGACTATGGTCTGGAGATTGGAGGAGAGAACTGGCAGGGAGGAGTCAGGGTGCTTCTTGAAGGCTCTGCCGCTGCCTGGAGGTGTCACCTTGGGGAAGGCCCTGGGCTTGGGCCTTGGTCTCTCTCCCTCTGCCCTGGCTGTAGACGTGAGGGGCCCAGGGATGGCTTGAAAAACCCTGATGGTCCCGGGCTCGTTCCCTGGATCTTAACCACTCACAGCTGCATCGCAACTGCTCAAGGTCAGGGGGACAAATCAAAATCTTGGTCTGGCAAAACAGAGACCAGAGGGAAGGAAGCCAAGGGTGAACACACAATGGGAGTGGTCTGCAGCGTTCCCTTGACTTGAACCAGTAACGTGAGCTCATTTTTATCTGTTTTCTTGTCTGTCTGCAGCAGGATTCGCCTTCTCTCAAAAATCCCAGAGGGCCTGGACCTCATCTGCTACCTCTCATTGCAGAGCTACTAGATCCTTTTTGCATGTGACTTTATAATTTCCTATTACTCGTCTACCCCCATCCATGCAGATTTCCTCATTGTACAGGAGTCAAGCAACACGGGGAGATTATGTATGTAATAAAGCATGTCATCCCCCCCCATGTCTCCTGTTCATACTTTGGTATCTTTATTTTATATATAGCCTTAAAAAAACATAGATGGAATAAAATTAAATGCATTGTTCTGCAGACGTTTTTTGGTACTAAGATGTGACATACACAATTCAAATTAAAACTGCATCTCAGAGCCAAAATCACGCAACCGAGGAGGGTGGTTGGGCTTCTCCTGAGGGAGGAGGGTCAGCAACAAGGATTTTCATCTTATTTCATTTTATTTTGGTGGGGGGAGGGGAGATTCATTAACCCTTTCCTGCCCCTGGTGCTCAGCTTCATTTCATTACCACCAGGAAGAGGTCATTTGTCATAAGGTACCTTGATGAAGTTTTAAAATGAACGTCTCTTGACCACCTGGTCCCTACACGGCCAGAATCCTATTTTGTTTTCCATCTTTATAGTTCACTTGACAGGACCTGCGTCTTCTGGATGTTGCCTGCGGCTGCTGTCACAATCATCGCAAAGGGACCACCTTCCCAGGCACCTCTCCTTATGCAGATGGGGAAACTGAGGCTGACAGCCAGTAAGCGATGACCCCATGCCACATACCTAGTTAGGGGGCTGAACGGAGAAAAACCCCAGATCCTGACTCAGGTCAGTGCTCTTTCTACCATCCCGTAATTTCCAGGGCCTGGAGATGGGGAGACCAGAAGATAGTTTCCAGATGGGTCCCTGAAAAAGCTTGTTGGCATCAGCTTCTTGGTGAGGCAGAGAGGACAGGGGAGAGCAGGGCTGGAGAGGTGTTGTAAGCATTGTTTCCAGTGACCCAGAGCTTTGCCTGTGGGTCCCTTAAAGCATAACAAGAGGACACACCCCAGCCCCTGCACTGTATTTAGATGAACCACAACCTCCACGTCTTGTTGGCTGTTCCTGACAGCATCCCGTGTCAGGGATGATGGAGGAGCAGGGCGTTTCCAGGGAATTGATGACCCTGCCTGGGGGCGACAGCAGGCTGAGGACCGGCCTGGGTCATCACTCACCCTGCCTCCACAGAAGCCCCACACTGTGCCCTTCTCTGCTGCCTGCAGGCCTGGTGCCTGCAAATCAAATGGCTGGGATCTGTTCGACTCTGAGGAGCCTCCTCCGACTAAACGCTTTGGGGCCAGGGAGCAGGTGACCAGGCTGGCACCGATCTGCTCTCCGAGACAGCTTTGCGGAGTGAGCCCCTCTCCAGCGAGAGGGTTCCGAGAGCCCGTAAAGGAGGAGGCACTCAAAGGCTGTTCTGACCCCTCCTTGGAAAAGGGAAGATTCACATCTCACAAATGGGTAAACTGAGGCCCCAATCTGTGCTGTGCCCCAAGTTAACCGGGAAGCCAGGCAGTGACAGAGGACCCCCTGGGAGCCAGAGAGCCCTGCCTACAGGCCAGAGTCTTCCTGGGCTGTGTGACCTTGGGCAAGCTACTTACCGTCTCTAAGCTTCATCTCTAACTTGGGATTTTGCTAATAGGAGTTAAGTCATGGGTCTGTTGGGAAGAATCAGTGGTGGATACACAAAACCTGGTTTGCATGAAGCCTGGCCTAAAACAGGTGTCCAAGAAACGTTAAATTATTGTTACTGTTATTATTATTAAAGCAGATGACAGTCTCTAATTCTGCATCGTCTGCCTGCTTTGCGACAAGAGCCGAAATGGTTCTCAGCAGTACGGTACCTCTCCAAGCTAAGGGGGGAGCCAATGGCAGGGAGGGGTCAAGGTGGAGGTAAGAGGCGGCAGAGGGGTGGGGCACTAAGGTGCTCCATCTTGCTCCTGCTCCTGACACCCTCTGTGACCTTGGACCAGTCCCTCTCCCTCCCTGTCCTCAGGCTTTGTTCTCACATCCAAACAGCAGGGCTGCCTGAGCACTGCAGGGGGAACCCACCCCGGAGGAGGAGGCGGGGAGCACCTGAAATCCACATGTCCCCCCTGGAAGATGGAGGAAGCTCTCTGCACAGCCCTGGAAGACAGCACCGGCAGGAAACCTCCAGGGGGGTTCAAGAGCCCAGGGCTGCCCAGGGTTGCCAACTCCTTGGCCTCTGCCCGGGCCCCCTGCAGGAGTCCTCCCGCACCCCTCCCGCCCTCTCACCAGGAGTGAGGCCCCTCCTGCCCCCCTACTCTGCGCTCCCTCCGGAGCTGGCTTGGCTTCATCAAAAGCAGGGCCCATCAGGGTGGAGGCGGCGATGTGTCAGCTGGTATTCAGGCTCTGGTTGTGCGCTCAGATCGCTCCCCCTCCCCATCTCCCCAAATCCACCCACCCACCCTTTTACCCGCTGCTTGGGGCCTTCTGGGTGGCAGCACTTCACAGAGGGAGTCAGAGCGGCAGGCTTGAGCCCTTGGCTGTTGGGGGTGGGTGGACTGACTCACTTGGCCCCCTCCCTGGTGCCGATGGGGCAGCCCCCACACCCCTGGGCGCTGGCACCCCGTCAGGCCCCAGGGTTTTGGAAAAGGAAGCAGCAGCCCCGCGGCGCCTGACCCGGGCCGGCTGAGGATGCGCCCTGCGCGCAGGGACCCGCCGGCCCCCGAGCCGGGAGGAGATGTTTAGGCAGCGACCCCCCAGAGCAGGCTCGCTCCCGCGGCCGCCTGCTGGGGCCACCCTGGCCGCGGGCCCGCCGGGACGCCCCTGCTGGCGGCGCCCCTCCCCGGGCCGTGGCGCGTCCCCCGAGTCTCGCAGTATTTCCTTCCTGCACCTTTAAGAAGACCGTTGCTCCGTGGTGGGATGGTGTGTTAAAGCCACACAGAGGAAGTTACGCAGCCCGGATCAGACCGAGAGATAAAAGCCCCGATGGTGATCGTGAGAGATGGCAAGAGGATTTAGCCCCGGCATTAACTTGGAGCGGAGTGCAGGGGGGCGGTGAAGCGCCCCGCCATCTGGCCCGCGCCGCGCCGCGGGGGGGATGCCCCGGCGCCCCGACGAGCCGCCGCGAAGCCCACCCGGGCCGGGGGCTGCCCGGTGCCCGCGCGCCGGTCCTCTCCGAGCCGCCCAGGGGGCCCAAAAAGTTTGCACTTGTTAGAGGCGACCTCCCGCTCGGCCCGGGGTGGGCGATGCGGGCGGCGCGGGCGGCCCCCTCCCCCGGCCCGCGTCTCCGGGACGGCTGCGGGCGGCCCCCCCGGCGGCCGGAGGGCGCCCCAGCCCCGATCTGACGGCCGCGGCGGCGGCGGCCACAGCGGCGAGCGGGAGCGGCGCGCCGAGGAGCAGCGGCTCGCCGCCCTCCGGCCCGCGCCCCCACCCAGCGCCGGCCAGGGCAGGCGGAGCGCCCGCGGGCGGCGGTCCTCGGCCTCCCGGGTCCGCGCTCCGGGAAGCTGCTCCGAGCCGGGGTAAGGCGGGCGGGGAGAGCCGGCGGGCGCGCGGGGGGAGAGCGGCTGCAGCTTTGCCAGCCTGGTTTCATTTCTAAAGGGCTTCGGTGACCGTGCAAGCTTCCCCGGGGCCCGGGAGCCACTTAAAGCGGCCCAGCAGAGGCTCGGATGCAAAAGTTATTTGGTGGCTGCTGTTACTAGCGGAGGACTGGAGTCGCCCGAGAGGGGTGTGTGAGTGTGCATTTGTGGCAGCATCTTAAAGGAAAAGCTTGTCTTTCCGGCTGGCGTTTTCCTACCAGGGTCTTTTTCCATCGTGTGTGTGAGCGCGCGCGCGCGCGAGTGTGTGTGTGTGTGTGTGTGTGTGTGCCCGCGCGCGCGCGTGTGTGTGGTGGGGATAGATGTTGCAAGAATGCGTGCATGTGTTTGTGAAAAAGGAAATTAACCCTTCTCTCGCGCTACTCCTCCGCCCCAACTGAATCGCCACCCTCGACCGCCACCCGCCAGCCCCCCTTCCCCGCATCCCCTTCCCATCTCTCCGAAAACTGGGTCTGTGCGAGTTGCGCAGAGAAACTCTTCGCCAGCCAGGCTGGAAACTTCTTTCCGTGCCGTGGAGGGGTGGGCTAATGGGGGAGGGGGATGAGCAGAGACGGGCTTGGGGACGTGTGGAGTGGAGCCTGGAACAGGGCTGCGCGCAGACGGGGGGAGCAGAGGCAGCGGGAAGGCGGGAAGAGGACCGTGGGCTCGCGGGGTCTGCCGGCTCGGAGTAAGTTGCCTGCCCGGGCGGGGGGCGGCGGAGGCAGGGGCGCTGCTGGAAGCGACGCGGGGTAAAAGGAGGTAACTAATTCCCGGGCTTTGCTCGGTGTCTTCTAATTGAGGGAGGCGGTGCCAACGGAGGGGGCACCCTCGGTGCCGGCGGGGCTTTTATTAAAGTCCTGATTATTAATTGCCGCCGGGGCTTGCGCTCAACTTGGGAAAGACAAAGCGCAGCTGCGGGACTGGGGGGCACGCCCCTGTGCGATGCATGCCCCGGTGCAGCCTACCCGATGCTCGGACTCCATCCTGACCCCTCCGCCCAGCCAAGACCGACCCCCGACCCCCGCCCGGCCCAGGCCTCCTTTTCGCGCCCCACCCCCCAGCCCTCAACTTTCCCGGGCTCCCCGGCCGCCAAGAGGCGGTGGGGGGCGCCAGGAGCCGAGAGGGCCCCTGTTCCAGGGCTGGGGGGCACCCGGACCGCGGGTAGCAGGATGCTAGCTAAGCCAGCGGTGCTCGGAGCACCCCGGCAGACCTGGCCCGGGGTGGAGGGAGGGGAGGTGACCCGGCGGCAGCGGGCTCCCCTCTCCTTCCTAGACCTCGGGCACCACCCCCTTGATGGCAGATTTCATTCCGCCCCGCTGCCCCCATGGGAAGGGAGAGGGAATCTCAGGGTGCGCAGCCCCCCGGACCCCTCTTCCAGTGCCCTCAGGGGGGCCTCCGCGCCCACAGCGCCAAGTTTCCCACGAGGCGAGGGCGCAGCGGGCAACTCCGGGAGGAGCCCGCTCTGAGCCCAGCCAGCTCCGAGAGGCGCTAATTCAATAAGACAGAGAAATCGGAGTTCAGAAATCCTGGTAAAATCTAATTTTCGGGTTTTAATACCCTGGCTATCAGCCCCCCTCGGTTCCTGAGGACTCTTAAAAGAAATAAAGCGCATTGATTCTATTTGTTCCTGGGAGCTGCAGTTTCTTAATAATATCAGGTGAAGATTTATTTTCCAAGGAGAAAACGATCCACCGGGATACAACCTCTTACTCTGAAATTTCCCGGCTGGCTTCCCACTCCCCGCGCACCGCCTCCTTATTCCGGGGCCTCTTGCTTCTCTCGTCCCTCCTTGGTTTGTTGGTTTGTTTGTTTGTTTTTGTTTGTTTGTTTGTTGTTGTTGTTGGGGTTGGGCTTTTTTTTTTTTTTTTTGCTTTTCTTTTTTGGCAAAAGCCGCTGTAAGATTCGCTTGTTGAGCTCACTAATCTCGCTGTAATACCAGCAACGCCCCGCTGATTGACGAGTTGTAAGCACATTTGCTACCCCGCCCCCAGCAGATTGGGTTGTCCTTGGCTTCCCCCCACCCCACCCCCGCCCCAACCACCACCCCATTTTCTAGGGAATGCGCCGCATTTAAACCGAAAGAACTGCAAAGCGTTTCCTAGATTTTCCAGTTGCTCCGCACTTGGCTCTCCGCGGCCTCCCGGCCTCCCGGCCTTGCTGCCTCCCCGCGCCCGCGCCCCCGGGGGAGGCTGCCCGCGGCGCAGTCAAAACCCTGGGCAGCGGCTGGTCCTGCAGAGGAAGGAAGCCCGCAGCCAGCGTCCTGGTGTCGCCTCCCCCGTCAGGAGCTCCCTACCTGTCCGTGAACAGTTGGGAGTCCTGGGCTGGAAGAATTAATTAGGGACGCGCTGTTTTCTGGGCAGCTCGAAGCTTGGGGAGAGGCGTCCAAACCTTTACCGGCCGCGCTCTTTTATTTTTACGACATTTTCTCAGGTTGTAAAAATAGTCGCCAGGCGGGTTCTTTCTGAGAGTTTTCTAGCAAGGAGCGCATTCAAGGCCAGGCAGGTTCTAAGACAGGTTTCTCTTTAAACAGCCAGAGGTGAGCCCTGAAAGTGTGGTCCCCCCTCGGCTTCTCATTCATCTCCATCTAGAGCCCCTCAGCCAGGGAGAGGGGCAGGGGCGGCCTTAATGCTGATTTATGATCCCCCGGACTGACTGGGCGCTACTGTAGGAGCCCAGGGGAGCCGCCAGCCCCCTCTGGACAGAGTCCGCCTCCCCCGTTTGTCATTTTTGGCCACAGCGTGTTTGTGTCTGGGTGGAGAATGGGGTTTCGTGGCAAAGTGATTAACTCTTTAGGGGAGGCTTCCCTGTAGGGGGTGGCCCGAGGGGGTGGCAGGTGAAAATCGCTGAGGTTAGTTAGCACCAAAGCCCAAGCAGCGTGGGGATGAAGAGGCAATCATCATAGGTCTAATAACCAGAATAATTAATAAGGCGGCTGTCTGGTGTGACTCATCCCATAACCTTTGCCCTACTGGCTTGTATTTTTGGCCAGGATCCCACACTGGCTGGACTCAAATTCTCCTGGTGATGTACCCAGTGTCTGGGGACACACCACGATACCGGAGTCATGTTTTCTGCAATGTAACATTTATCTTCGTTATAGCTATTTGGGCTCTTAAATAATTATCAGTAGCTTAAAATAGTAAAGCAATAATCATAATAGTGACTCATTGATAGACACACCCTCCAAAGATGATTGCAGAATTTTGGCCTTGATCAGAAACTCTAACATGACAAACCATCATCACTTCTGCGGTAGTTTTCACCGTCCCTAGTTTCTTAGCGTTGAAAATCCAATGGACCGTTGTAGAATTTGGGGAGAGACTTCTCAGCACCTGGTTCTTACTTGCTGGCCCACACTTGCATTTGTACCTGTCTATACAAGCTCGTTGGCACTCAGGGTGACAGCTTTGACATTCTGACTTGTCGGTCACAGTATCGAGAGCCACCACTCAATCCTGACCCCTGAGCATGTTTTAGGAAGTCGGTGACCCCAGGCAAGGGCAATTCTGCTGCCCTAATAACCCCAGAAAAGGGGGGGGGAGTAAATCCCCTTCTAAATAATGTGCCGAGCCTGCAAATGTACAAATCTAATATTAATAAAAATAACCGGCTTTCTCGGGAGACCTTGCTAATGCAGCCTCATTTTTTTGTGTGTGCACATTTTGCCAGAGAGCTTTTATTCTTATGCATCTTTATCGCCCCCCCTTCTCTTTTTAATTTGTTGCAGGTGTTGTTGCTAATGAGCTCTCTTCCTCCCCTCTTACAATGAAAGACAAGCCAGCCCCCGGGTACCTGGATGGATTGAGAGCCGAAGTGTCAGAAACTTCATAATAAGTTGCTGATGGCTACCAGCCAAGGTCAGCTGGCCCCCATTAGTGCCTGTCCCCACAAAGCAGAGCCAAATAAGCTTCTCCCCAGTTAAGAACCTCAGTCGCTTTTTTATGTGGCAGTCCAGCCACACAATTGTTGTCACTTTAAGCCCAGGTGAAAAGAAATCTCTTCTATTGGTCTGAGATGCCAGTCCAGTCCCACAGAGGGAACACGGTTCCAGCTAACACGCACACCTCCTGATTTTATTTTATCTCTACAACGCAGGCTGGAGGGTTGTTTTGCAGTTCTGTTGAGCACATCACACATTTAAGGGCCCTTTAAAGACCTGGATTGATTGGAAGGACAAAAATTAAAAGCAATCTGATCCGGCCTCGTGCCAGATCCCTGAGGATTTGCTCCCTATCCCATTTCCACCCACTGTCACAATTCGAGAGCCTGCCTGATTTGATCAGATTCGCCTCTGGGAGAGGTGTAATGCCAAGGTTAGGAGGACGCGAAGTTACGGGCAACTTTCTGATTTGCCCATCAGCAGTCTGAGAAACGCTGGCTCTGAGTTTTCCAAATCGGCCTTTGGGAAGAAACAAGTTCCTCGCTCTTCGCAAGCCGGCAGGCTCCGGTCCCTGGGACATCCAGCCTCCGGTGCCTGGTGGATGTGGCACTTCCATGCTGAGGCCGAGAGTCCCGCCTGACCCAGTCACTGCCTCTCCAGGGCCCGTCTGGGCCACGCCCCTGCGGACTGCGCAGCCATGCTGCCCCTGCTCGCACTTTTCCTGTACTGCCTCCCACCGGCCTCGGGGGACTACGACATCTGCAAATCCTGGGTGACCACGGACGAGGGCCCCACCTGGGAGTTCTACGCCTGCCAGCCCAAGGTGATGCGGCTGAAGGACTACGTCAAAGTGAAGGTGGAGCCCTCTGGCATCACGTGCGGAGACCCCCCTGAGAGGTTCTGCTCCCACGTAAGTCAGCCCCCCGCCGTCCTGTTTGCTCAGGCCAAGGGGGAGGGGGCCCGGGACAGACTGCTGATGGGTGGGCAGAACGGCAGGACCAGAGAGATGCAAGGTTGACTTTCCCGCATCTTGGGTTGGGAGCAGATGGCTGTCCCACCTTGGAAAAGGGCCAAAGCCAAGGCCACCCCCAGGGCTCTGCAGTCACGTGACGTCATTCTCTGGGGTGGGTACCTTCTTGACCAGCTGACCACCAGATCCTTTTCTCTTGGGAAGACCATAATAGTGATGGGTCCTGGGCCAGGCCATGCAGACCAGCCCCGCCTCCCCTGAGCAAGGGAGCAGGGCACAGAGAGCTCTGTGCATCCCTTCAGTGGTACCACGTCCTCTTCCACCTGATCCAATCCGGCAGACCGTGTTGCCGGGCCAGCGCATGCCACGCGCCAAGGGGAAGGTTTGATGCAAGTGCAGAGGGGGTCCATAATGGTGGAAGGAGAGAGCCAGACCAGGACGGACGGTGTGGCTGGTTCTCTTTCCAATCCCATCCCTATGTGTGGTGACTGCAGTCACTGGTTAAGTCAGGGGGACAGCAGGTGTTCAGGTGTTGTCACTTGAGTCCTTAATTAGAGAAGGACGGGGTCTTAGAGCCATGGAGCACTTGAGCAGTCCGTGTTACCAACCACAACAGCGGTGATAATAGGAGGGACCATTCATGGGAGCCCCTCGTGTGGGCTAAGAGCTTGCTACGCAAGTCCTCCCATCAGCTCATCCAGGCTGATTCTCTGTTGTATCAAGGAGGAGTTTCAGGGGATGGGCTCTGAACCAGTGGCATCTCTGGGCCTCTGTTCCATGGTCTGTAAAATGGGCATTGTAAGGGGCAAGTGAGCTGATTCATATGTGTAAAATGCTGAGTAGGGCCTTTCACAGAGCAAATGCCCCATAGGTATTAGCTGTTGTCATTCCTGTTGTTCACAAGGGGAAACTGAGGCTCCAGGTCACACCAGGAAGTGGTAAAGCTGTGATTCAAGGGTCTGAGCTAAGCTGCCTGCCGAGAGGGACCTTCCCACTTGGCCAAGCCTTAGATCTCCATCCCCGCCCCTGTGCCTGGCAGGAGGCTGGGCTGGGCAGCCAGGCTGCAGGAGCTGATGGGAGGGGCTGGGCAGCATCTTTGGGGTGACTGCTGCCTCCATGTGTCCTTGAGGGAGCCTCCGGGTCTCTGGGCTTATGGCTGGACTGGGCAGGTATTCCATTGGGCTCCTGAGGATGCCTCAGTCCCACGGGCAGCAGCATTCCGATCACAGAGCAGTCAGCCTGGGAAGGTAGCTTCCTGTCTGGACTGTCAGCAGGGAGGCTGTTACTGTGGCTGGTGGCTGGGCCAAGGGAGCAAGCTGGGGAGGATGGGGGGAGAGAAAGAAGGCAGCAGAGGGCTGGGAGCGGGGGTTGCTGGATAGCTCGTGGGGATCACTGCACTGGGGATCCCAGGGTCTCACGGCTCAGGGATGAGCAAGGGGGTCAGCTCGTAAAGGTCAGGAGCAAGGCCACACTTGGGGGGCAGTGGAGCTCAGTTCTGAGCCTATGTGCCAGGAGGGCGACCCAGCCCAGCTCATGCAAAGACTTCTCCACACACTCCCGGGACAGAGTCAACCTCTGCTTCTCGTATTAGAGTCCTGACTGTATTTCTTCTCTTAAATATTCATCATTGCTTTAATGTACTGGGGGGAGGGTGTGGGGCGGGGCAGCTAAATCATGACTCACTGGACCAGCATCTGGTCAAGGGCTTGAGGGGAGATGACCATCAAATGCAAGTCTGAGGCCCTCTCCTGGCCGAAGGTGGCTCACGATACCCTTAGCTCTGGGCCTCTGCCCTGCCCCCACTCTCATAGGGAGGACCCAGGGCACCTGCCAGGGTGGGGTACTCACCCTCCCCCAATCCGACTGTTGTCCCGCCTGAGGCCCGGCAGGTGTCATTGAGCGCTGGGGTCTGGGAGGAGCTGCCATCCCCCCTCCTTCTGTCCTGGGAATACAGGAGAGGAAGAGCAGCGTCTTCAACATCTCCTGCCTAGGTCCTGCCTAGGGTCCTCGTGTCTCCACACCTGTCTGATGGACTTAAATATTTCATCACAGGCTGCCATCCCGCTCTGCCTATTATTACAAGTGTGTGGCCAACAAGAATGGGGACTCTGCCTGGCCGGTGGAGGGGGGCTGGCTTCTGCAGGGAGCGGTGGGGGAAGGGGTCACATCCAGATAACTTCAACCCCCCGTGCTGCCTCCCCAGAGCAGGTCCTGCCTGTGTCTCGTTTAATCATCTCTAGGATGCTCTGAGTGGGTCCTGTTCTAATCCTGTTGTAGGGATTAGAAGGGGTTGCCTAAATCCCGCCAAGGTCACTCAGTTTGGAAGGCAGACGGCAGCCTGTCTGCAGCCAGAGCCCACGCTCCCCCACCAGGTGGCTCCGCCTTCCCTCGCAGAGGTTCAGCTTCCTGCCCGGTAAAGGAGAGATAAGCCCGCATGCAAGGCATGGAGCTGGCCGGGGAGAGCGAGCTGGCACACAGTGGGTTCTCAATGTGCAGTAGGAGTTGTGTGTTTATCATTATCGTTAGGACGCGCTCAGCAGTGTCCCTGGCTTTTCTTCTTTGCCTCTGTCCAGCCTCCAGAATGCCACGCCCTGCATTCCCGGTCCCTGGGCAGCCGGCCTGCCCTGGATGGTCAGGGAGCTCCGACTCCTGCAGGCACGGCCGGCGGCAGGAACCACCAGGGGGCGCCCTAATGGTATCCGGTAGCCTGGCCAGTGCCCAGTGGGTCCCTGCGGCGACTGCTGGACCTGTCCCCACATGCAGCCAATGGGAGTGTGAGCCCTGGAGCACCCCCCCACGGTGCACGGGGAGGGCACGAAGCAGCCACTGTTTTCGGGGTTCAGGGTGCGGACCCTCCCTCCCGCCAAGCTTCCCGTCCTTCCGCAAGGCCACCTGAGACCTGAATTGTAAATTCCAGCCTGGTGAGGTAGGGGAGCGGGGAGAAGATCAAGATAAATGAATAAATAAAAACCTATTGGCTCTAAATGCACAGTGAGAATTAATAGGGATGAGCTCTCAACCAAGGATCTGAGGGCAAGGGCAAAATTTCAATGAGGACTGCAGGAGAGCATGGGCGGCCCCCCACCCTCCGATCCGGCCGGCTGCAGAGGGCCAGCCTGGCCACGCGGCAGGGCCCAGGGGGCAGGAGAGGCAGTACCCACTGAGGCTTCTCATCCCCTGTGCTGTTGGGTGTCGGGAACAGCCCCACGGTGCCCCAAAACACTCTCCTTGTGCCTCTAGAGACAAAAGCTGACCCTCGAGTCTCAGGAGAGAGATGGTGAGAAAGAGAGAGGGGATGGGGTGCTGGCCACAGACCAGGCAGGTGGTGGTTAAAGCGACCCTACAGGTCCCCCCTGGCTGCCTAAAATGTAGTCCTTGGACTCACCTCATTAAAAATGTAGAATCCCAGGCCTGCCCCAGACTGCTGAGCCAGGAACTGCATTTTAACATAAGATCCAGGGATCTCAGAGACATCCAGGGTACGGTCCGAGGTATGTAACGGCCTCGTGGTGCGCGCACCCCACGGCTGACGTTCCCAGGGGATCTGCGTGGGCTACGTGCCGAATCCCTGTTCAAGGAGATGGTGGGGAGCAGCAAGCCCGGGAGTGAGGGCTGGAGCTGGGAGCTGATGTCTCTGAGACCCTCTGGAAGCTTCCAAAGAGAGGCTGTAGGTATCTTGTCTAGAGCCACAGGCCTGGGGTCTGAGGACCCGAGCTCCCATCCCAGCTCTGCCATTCTCAGGTCATTTAGATTCTCTGAACCTCGGTTTCCTCGTCTGTAATGGGTGGCGATCGTGGGCTGCCTTGCCCGCCCCACCAGCTTCCTGGAAGAAGGAAATGTTTCTCTCAGAATATCTAGAAGTGCTTGAAGAGGGTGAGTTCTGTTCTCGCGTCAGGCTTTGATATGATTGTTGATCCAATCTTGATCCTCTTGATTTTGAAATAGATGAACATTAAACTTTTTATCCAAGGAGACTTTACATGTACAGGACCCTTGGTCTTGGGCTTGACGGGAAACCAGGAATAGGCCATGAAGGTGTATCTTTGAGCACCCTTTTTCCTCAAGCACCTGCTTTACCTTCTCTGTGCCGCGGTTTACCCAGATGCAGAGCACATGGTCCTATCCCCCCACCCAAGGGGACTGCTGGGTTGGGTGGATCCTTGAGTCCTCAAGCCCCTCCCCACTGTGACATTGAACACCATATGTAGAATCAAGGTCATAGATGCCCCGCCTCCTGCCAGACCTCCATGTTCACAAAATGTTCCCACCAAGCCACACTGACCTGACAGCTCCACTGGCTCAGCCCTCCTTCCCCCTCTGTTTTCCTGGTCCCCAAACCCGCAGGGAGAGCACGTGGAACAACTTGCCCCCGCCCCCTCCTGTCCCCCAAGAGCCGGCACGGCAGACGTGACCCACATACACTACCAACAGGTGTCAGGGAGACAGAGCTGCTGTGGTGGGAGCCCCCGAAAGGTGAAGATGCATCTCTTCAGCTCACCCCTTGTGCTCCAGCCCGCCACGCTTCCCCCCTCTGCACCCTTGCCTGGGCCGCCTCGTCCACCCAGAATGTCTTCCCTCGCTTCCTTCATTTCCAAGGCTTCCACATTTACCTGGAAAACCCCAGCTCAGTCTTCAAGGTTCAGGTTGGACCTCCCCTCCTCCAGGAGGCTTTCCCTGATTCCCTAACCCAGGTGGGTAGAAGGCCCCCATCTGGTCACACCCCCGTCATCGTGCTCACTGATGTTGGCCTAGTGGTTTAAGGGCGTGGGTCCTAGGGGCAGAGAGATAGAGGTTAGAACCTCATGCTGTGTGACCTTTGGCATGAGGCTTAACCTCTCTGAGCCTTATTTCCTCAAATTGCTGCTATGAATAGGATATGCAAACAGGACTGTCTGGTGCACAGCGCCTGGCATATGGCTGATGCTCATTCATGAGGGCTA